CCCACATTACCCCTGTCTTAAAGGCCTTACACTGGCTCCCTGTCTCACACAGAATACATTTTAAAATTCTGGTGTTGACTTTTAGGGCCCTTCATGGTCAGGCGCCTGAATACATCCAGGGCCCGATCCACCCTTATATCTCCAACAGGAGTCTGAGGTCCTCTACTCAGAACCTGTTGATGGTCCCCCGGACTCGTTTCAAAACCAGAGGAGACAGATCCTTCCAGGCAGTTGCTCCTCGCCTTTGGAATGAGCTTCCTCAGTCTCTGCGTATCGTAGAGACTGTTGATGATTTTAAGTCCCAACTAAAGACACATTTGTTTGGACAGGCTTTCTCGCACCATTGTTCATAGGCCTCTGTGAATGTAAATTGTGTTTTCTGTGTTTGTTTTATCTGACTTGTATGTGTATTTTGTATTTTAATGTGTGAAGTGCTTTGTGACCCTGGTCTGTGAAAGGCGCTATACAAATAAACTTTACTTACTTACTTACTTACTTGCTGGTGCTTCGGCGTCCAAGAATCAAGTCTGTCGTCATTAGTCAGATGTAAATAATTGTGTGTTGTATATTTTGTATACTGTATTATGTCTGTGTGATTAGAGGTGTTGTATTTTACCTGTATTTTATTAATTAGGCCATTCATTCTTTCTATTTATCCATTCTTTGCACACTGTAAACCTGCTGTCACGTTGCCTCTACCTCAGGGACAACGGATGAAAATTAGCTTGTAGCTATGACCGGTCTGAACAATACATTTATTGTGCAATGTCCCTGTCAAATGAACAAATAAATAAATGAAATAAGAATAAATAAAAGGAGCATACAGTTAAATCCTGAAATCACAAAGACATAATGTGATTCAGTGAAACAGCCATTAAAGCTGGACTACCTCACTTTATTTTTGTATTCATTAGAGAAATTCAATCTAAATCCATGTAGTGCATTGGGATATACGTTCTTTTGAAGAATAAGTAGCGCACGTTTGTACGGGAGTGTAATTTGGTTTTTTGATCAAGTTTTTGTACAACGCGGAAGAGAATTTGTTTTGGGACCAGATTATGACCAATCACAGCGGACCGCTGGCCCCCACTTTCTTTAGAAAATCTATAGGTCTCTCGTAAGCGCGCACAGAAAGCTGAGGTAAACGAGCGGCGGAGGCAAACCTAAAATTTCCAGTGTCTTTGTTACCGGTTACTGCTTACACAGCAAAACGGCCAAAAGAAAGTCTCGTCCTCCGCACTTCCCGGTTCTATCATTCTATGGTTACGCCATCCATGTTCAAATGTGCGATCCATATTGTGAGACGCGAGCTCCATAAACAACAGCACATGAGCGCAGGCTAAGTGGGAGGGGGCTAGTAGGAGGTGGTGGGGGGCGAAAGCTTTGTGAGTGCGGGGAGGGGAGCAGACAGAGTGAGGGCAGCGCTTACATTTGAAACATTAAAAAAGTGAGTTTTAACCGTTAAAATTAGCAACAGTAACGCCATGCTGAGAAAACGGTAAAACCCTGGAACCATATTTGCCAGCTTTTTACCATTTTTCTAGAAGGATATTCTTTACAGTGTAGTTAATTATTTTTGTATTAAGTTAACTTCTTTAATTTCAGAAATCCATCTGTACTTCCTTCTTTGACGGACTCACGGATGAAACCACCACCACAGATTGCGGAGAAGGTTCAGGAGGCCAATCCGACAGGTAACTGACTCACAGCATGCAGCACAGAACAGTCTTCTTAAAAATGTGATCCACTCTGACAACATTCAAGCCAGTTCTTTTGAGCTTTTGCATTCAATTTATTTTTGTTCTATGGGAGAAGTGGCGTGTGTATGCATTAGAACAAAGTATACAGTAGGTGCTGAGTATCGGTCATGGGATGCCGACAAGCTTGCAGCCTTTAAGACTGGATCCAGGACCTAAGGTACAGAACGTGGACCAGCAGCCGTTGAACGTGGACAGGTCCGGTGCAGGACTAAAGCCTGGTTCACACGGCAGGATAATTAGGCCGATTTTGGACCCGATTTACCCCTACAACAATCTTTAAGAGCTCTCTGATTATTGTAAAAAAAATCTGATGGATTTTCCTGCCATGTGTGGTGTCTTAAGACTGCGCTCGCCGCTCTGAAGAACTTCGGGACTACTCCGAGCTCAAAATTGGGGATATCCAACATGTTGGATTGTTTAGGCCCGATTTCTCTTCGTGTGTGGTGTCCTCCGGGGACAGATGAGCGCGTTGCCATGACTGCGGCGTGTAGCCAATCAGAAGACAAGACGAGGCTGCGAGGAAACGCCGTAAAAAAACAACTCACCTCCATATCACGATGTAGCAAGTATAGTCCATGCTCGCGTGCCTTCCCTGAGTCTTACCTTCCTAACCATATGCTAAACTAAAGAGGACTGTTTTAGCCTAGCCTAGAACGTAGGGTTGAAGATGCAGCGGACCGGGTTCCATAATGCTAAGTTGAAAAAGAGTGTCTTAAGCCTGGTCTTAAAGCTGCACTAACTGATATGGAGAAAATTTCAAACGCGAGTGATGTGCTCCCTCTCTCTGCTCGCCCTCCCCACACCCACGGAGCTTTCGCCCCCCACTACCCCCCTCCCCCGCAGCCTGTGCTCTATGCTGTTGTTAGCTTCGGAGCTAGCTTCTCACAATATGGAACAATATGGCACTTTTGCACGTGGATGCCGTGACCATAGAATGACAGAACCGGGAAGCGCGGAGAGGACGAGACTTTCTTTTGGGTGGATGTTTCGCTGTGTAAGCAGTAACGAAGACACAGGAAGATTCAGGTTAGCTTCTGCTTCTTCTTGAGGTGCCAAAGGTGTGGATTTGTTTTTCCGCGTCACTTTAAGGAAGAATATTCCTGATTTTATAAGTTGGTGTGTCTCTGGTTCTGTCCAAGTGTCTATGATCCGCGTGTCTCCGCCTGTCTGGGTTCTGTCTGCGTATACGAAATGTTAATGTCTGTCTGTGGTTATGTTCGGGTGTCTATGGTCCTGTCTGTGGTTCTGTTCGCGTTCTATGGTCCGCGCTTCGGAGCCCCAGACGGCAGTGCGTTCACTGAGCTGTCAGAAGCCGGGGGTCACAGCGCGCTGCCGGGGGCCAGAGCGGAGGAATGTAAACGTCACTGTTCGGTTTAATCAAAACATATCACAATATTGTAACGTATAACATAGTGAATTTGCACCTAGATGTTTTCAGACTATTAAAGACTAGATGTTATATAATAATTGATTTAATGAAAAACCAAATTTCGCCAAAAAAATGACAATGACCTTTTTTTACTGTTTACTTTGAAAAAGCATTCAAAAGCAACACATATACATTCACATGCACGGCTTGAACACACAGCCAATTTTACACATTTCCTTTTGAACAAGGAAAGAAGATAACAATCTGATAACGTTACGTAATTGCACACAAGCAACCAAAAGATGTGCAACCAAAATTGCCTCAGACAAGAATCGAACCTGGGATCTCCAGGTCCCAGCCTTCAATGTTAACCATTCGGCCAACATAGAATCTCTGGGCTGGACAGGTTTGCAGGCAGTCTGATACCTGAGCGTCTAAGTCGCTGGCAGAGCTAAAGCGGACTTAACCTGCCACCTTGTGGCGATAAGATGTAATATTTTTCACGCAGCTGCGTGATTCCCGAAAAGCGTGAATGAAGACGACAAAACGAAATGGGACCTACTGTACACGGATTGTACACGGATTGTACACGGATTGATATTGAAGCATAAAGGATTTGATTTTCCAATTTGTCCCAATTTGAATGAAGCGTGAATGAAGACGACAAAACGAAATGGGACCTACTGTACACGGATTGTACACGGATTGTACACGGATTGATATTGAAGCATAAAGGATTTGATTTTCCAATTTGATTTAGAAAACGAAAATACCAATAAACGAATGGAAAATTTGTTTTTCTGATTTTATTTTGAAACGGAATAACTAATGATCGAAGGGTACACGGATTCTGAAACCATTATTAAATATTTTTTTCCTTTTCCTCATCAAAATGAAAAATGAAAATTCAAGCCATTTTAAGATATTTCACTTTAAATTTTAATTTGAAAAAACCATGGAACGAAAAATACACCGACCCTGTATAATCCGTGTACCCTTCGATCATTAGTTATTCCGTTTCAAAACAAAATCAGAAAAACAAATTTTCCATTCGTTTATTGGTATTTTCCTTTTCTAAATCAAATTGGAAAATCAAAACATTCTAAATGAAATATTCACCCATTTCTTTGTTATGCAGTGGAAACAAACACAACTAAAACAACTTCCATTATTTTGTTTGATATGCTACCGGAAATGATGAGTGGTGAGAGACGGAAACAACTACAAGACAACAACTCGCGCGACAAGCAAAATGGATAATCACGTTTTATTCAGACGCGGTAGACGGATTTCTTTTAGTCCAGATGACGTTACCACCAACAAAATTGCCATGATATTTCAGGTGAGTTGTTTTTAACTATGTTTATTTGGAGAAGACACTTTTACGCGTACACGTGCCGGCCATGGATTTATCGGCGGCACGTGTAATTAGCACAATTTAAGCTTGGAACTATGTATGATTTAAAAACAAGTTAAGTACGGAACATTGTTGAATTTTAGTAGTTTTAAAAATGAAAAAAGACAGAAGTCTGCTTTGCATCAGCACACATTGCAAGTATCTATATAATCATAACTTAATTACACCCTTCTATGTTTGCGAATAGGTCCGTGCTGACACCGTTTATTTGATTGACGACCACAACAAGGTAATATTGCCCGATCAGGGCGGTGCATTTGACAACCTGGAGCTACTGGGTGGTGGCCACTATGAAGTGTACGGCGAAAGCACAAATGATGGAGGACCTGGTGAAGGCCCCCCATCTACCTCCAACCAGCAAACTCCTGCCCGCTTTGCTTTTCGCCGCCCATTCAGTGCTAGTAGTACCACTAGTCCAGCAGGTTTTCAGGCTTCAAAAGCAGCTGGACCAAAGATGTTACAAAGGTAAAACTACATTTATTAAAGTGCTGGAAATTGTATTTCAACTTTTTATCCAGTTGGTGCATAACCTTGATCCTTTGTTTGTAGGAATGTTTTTATAGCCGAGCTTGTTGATGGAAGACTAGAAACCCATAAAACCGTAACCCTCAAATTTTCAGAATTTGAGTCATCTCTCCCAACAATTAAGGCCAAAGTGTTTGAGGCCCTTGGCCAAGAGCAGTCCATTGTGCTGATAGACAGCCATCATAATGAGATAATGGACTGTGAAGGAACAAGGGGTACAATAAAATAAAATAAAAATACAGATATTGAGTAAATTAAAGAAAAACAAGTCTGAACTAAGTATTTTTTACTTTGTAGGACCTGGCTTCTGGAAACAGAATGCAAGGAAAATTTACGCTGTTCCAGAAGAACAACTACAAAGGCTCAGGGGGAATAAGCGAAAGAGAGAAAGGTAAAGTAGCTTTTACATTTGCTTCTTAATTGTTACTTGAGTGTTAAATATACCATGTTATACATTTTCAGTCGAAATGGTGACAGTAGTGCCCTTCCAGAGGTGTTGGACCAAATTGAGGAGGTCCTTTTGGCATCCCAAGGTTTGCAGGAAGTATCCAAGTCACTGAAAGACCTTGTGGCATTTGTCAGAGGAAACAAGTACACAACTGTCAGCCTCAGCGAAGACCAGGCTGCTGCTGTAAAAGCAGCCTTTTCTTGTGTCATTTGTAGAGGTACTTGTATTTGTTGTTTGACTTTTATTGTTATGTTCTGAAGTTTTCAGTGAATCATCTGCTCCTCATAACCTTGCCTATTCCCTAATTTCCTAATTTCTTGTAGTCCTTGTGATTTCAAATTTCTACATATAGGTCTCTGTCACTTTGTCATACTTCCATCTTTAATTGAACATAAGGCTTGAACAAAGCTCCTTCTCACTCTTGTACTGCATATATCTTACAGACCCCATGAAGGATCCAATGTTTGCAAGCTGTTGTACCACCGTACTTGGATGCAGAGCCTGTTTGGATCAGTGGCAGGATGGTCATGCACACTGTCCCAAGTGCCGGACCGATGATTTTTCTTTCCACATCCAGTCTGTTGTGGGGCTGGACGATGCCCTCACAGCACTTCACAATATTATTTCCTGAATGATCATTGACTTCACGTTAAATTGGTATGGTTAAAGCGATATTTCAAGATTTTTGACATAGGGCGATATTTTTCTCTTACATTCATGCAGTTCTTATATTTAAAGAGCTTAGTGGCGCTAGGCCAAAGCATTTCTATGGTATCAGCAACCCTGCATTAAAAACAGTCTGACCCACTCCACAGTGCACCGGAGGAAAATCACTTATAACACCAGACTAACCATATAAATGTCTGTGTTAATAGAATAATTTTTGAGATATAACTGGCCTTGTATCGCATGCAATACCGCATTTTGAGGGACTATTTTCTGGCAGATCACTCCGTTGCGTTAGCTTACAACCACAAAGCTGATGCTGCTCAAATGTTATTTTAAATGCAAAATTGTTTAAATTATTCTATCGACAGACCTTTATATGGTTAGTGTGGCGTTATAAGTGATTTCCTCAGGTGCACTGTGGAGTGGGTCAGACTTGTTTTAATGCAGGCTAACTGATACCATAGAAATGCTTTGGCCTAGCCCTAGCCTAGCACCACCAGACTCTTCAAATATAAGAACTGCATGAATTTAAGAAGAAAAAAAAATCCCCAGAAATCAACAACACTGGATAATTAGGAAATGAGGCCCTGTGTCAAAAATCCTGAAATATCCCTTTAAATGTTCAAAATGTTTTTACCAAGTTTACATTATGTTTGGGGATATGTGCAATACTAAGTATACCATATTAATCCACATTTATCATGATCACTTTTTATTATGTGATTGTATATTTTTTATTCCCCCCTTGTTACACCTATTACAATTTTCTTTTACTGAGGTGTTGGGAAAATGCTTGTATAGAGTATTCTTAAGTTATGCCAGTTTTGTTACCAATGTTCTAACATTTGATATAAATACATTTCAATTCATGGCTGTAAATCCTGTGTATTTTAACACAATTCAGTTACTATAGTGTATTAACACATTTGGATATTTTCCCAGTGAGTCTGTTGAAGGAAGAAGTATTCAATTAATTTACTTTAGTACAGATATAAAAGTTCTTGAGGCATCTGTACTCTAGTACAATGTGGGACATTTCACAAGCAAGCTTGTCCACTGAGAAGCTAAATGTCCTACAGTCTACGAATGACTCAAACCTGTTTCTACAATAAGTAAACTATGACTGAGCTTAAAGTATGTAAAAATACGAGTATCAGCGTTTCAAATTTACTTTCATACTCAAAGACGGTTCCATACATGTTTTAATTCTGAAGAATATAAGGTACATTTAACAAACTAAATCTATTTTATGTGAACATGCAGCTTTTACAACATTGACATTTACTGAAGTACATTTTTTATTGTGTACTGTACACATACTTATAAAATACTACCCGCCTACTTAAGCATGCCTTTCAGTTGCACGGAGCAAGCAAAAAAGTGCTTCATTAAAATCTGTATATTCGAAATTAGCAACATTGTCAACAATAACAGACAAATCTGGGTAAGCGACCCTAAAGTCCTCTTCAGCATGAATCCTGTCCATTTCATTTTGAAATGGGTCTACACCAAAGACTGATTCAGTTGTTAAGGAAGAGCCCAAATCCTGTTCATAGTGAGCAGCAGCAACAGAGGCACTGGGCAAAAGGTCTTGTGCAATTTTGGCAGAACTTCCTCCAGACGCCAAATCATTAGGTACTCCTCGTCCTAGAAATAAAACATTTATACGATTAATTGCCATGATCGAAAAGGCAATTCTGTGGCCCCATGCATGAACCTGATAGACCACAAATACTTGAATACATTTCATTAATGAACATAGTGTTACTTTTAACCTCAGTTTTGATTAACATTCATGTGTATATCAGGTTTATGCATAGGGCCACAGAATTATATTGCACTAACGGTGATCTTCAAACAAGAAGAACACAGACATAAAAATTTTAACAGGAACCTGCATGGGGAGTTCAAATGTAGTAGTTTTAATCTACAGCCCTTGACCACCCACTTCTCCATCAAACCCTCCTACCTGAACACATGCGTGTGTGCAGAGAGTTGGGTTGTGTGTTTGTTCTGTCATTTATAATCATTTAAATTTATGTTTTTGTATTAAGTCTTATTTGTTCATTTTATTCTTTGCTTATGTTGTTTAAAGAAGTCCTACATTAAGTCATATTTTATAGATTCGTTTTCAATAAGTAAAATTTAGATTTATTTATGCAAGTGTTTAGTAAAGGGACCTGTAACATTTCACTAGTTTTTCAAGCTCCATAATTGTACTATAATAGTGTACTATGTGTGCAAGTCAAATTTGACTTTAGGGAACCATAAGTTATCATGGTTGCTTACCTGGAATCCTGTGTGCATTCCATGCATTTACAACTCGCTGTAAGCCAATCTGGCTGAGAAGACAGGTTAAGTTTGACACACAAAATTTTATGCGGTCATCCTGCATGTCCAGGGTTTCCTGGTCCACGAGGTGTACTAAAGCCGCTTTCAATGGATAATTCACACGGTTGTTCACCTCCGGCCAAATTCGCTCTACCCTAAGATTCTACAAGGAACAAAAGAAAAATAGTGAGTGTGTATGTTCCTTTACATGCAAGCTGAATAAGAAAAGGTTTTAAAAAGTGGTCATGGACTTGCTTATAAATAATATTTATATCATTAAATCTAGATTACCACTTTTTGAAACTTTTTTTCTGCTAATAAGTTAGATTAAACATTATTATTTACATTAAAATTAAGAAGTCACTACTTATAATTTCATAATTACATGTAATGTTAGAGCACCTAACTTAGATAACAAATTTGCAATGAATTACTCCGCCCTAGTACTGTGTCTGTCATAATACAGCCAATCAATGAATGACAAGCACCTTGGTTGACGTAGTCTGGGCATAGGGCTGCCGACTAACATTGAAGCGGTATTTGGAAAGGATTTCCTGCATATACAGGCATAGGTAAAACTCCTTCCCATGGTCCACACGCACTTGATCCCACATACCATGTGTCGCCACTGCAGGTCTATCAAAAAAAATAAAAATAAAAACATTACTAGCTTACCAAACAGTAGAGAATAGAGAAAATGTGTGTAAGAGAGTGAGGTCCAAAAAAAATTCAAAGGAGTGTGCCACAAACAGCTCACTCTTTGGGATGCAGGTACAGGTGAGAGAAAGGTGAGTGAGTACAAAGATAGATGAGTCGCAGTGAAAAGAAGAGTGGGACATAAGGGGTTTCAGAGTCTAAATGCTAAGCATAGTTTTACCAACCTGTACACTTCTTCATAAATAGTGAGGTTATTTTTAACAGGCATTGTGGCATATGCAACAATTTTTGAGCTGTAGCCATCCACTGCCACAACATGGGTGACACCAAACATCACCAACTTTTCATTCTGGTCCAGGTGAATCTTGTGTCCCATGTATTCTGCATGGTAGGGGATGGGATTCAAGTTCCGAGCACCCTTTAAAGTAGATATTAACCATACATATTAACAAATATACATACCACCATTCTCAACACATTGTGTCACAATATTTACACTTGTGACAAGCTTACACATTTGCATCTGGCACTTACACGTTGTCGCAAATTGTGGTAAGGCTGGTGCACCTCTCTCAATACTCTCCCCACTCGGCGTTCACCAGCACGTACTCCAATGGACGTCAAATATCCAGTCATAAACTTTCGTCCATATGACGGGCCTGTCTGTAATATGCATATGTTTCTAGACTTTAATTCAAATATTAAAGCCCTTGTCACAGTCTGCACAGAAGGCCATGCACGTATGGGAAAGCGCAAATGAAGGCTGTGTATCACAGACCAAATGGCAGGACTTTGTTTACATATTACAAAAGTAGCGCATTTACGCAGTGTGCATTTACTACAGTCGTTTTACTGAAAGGAACGGGGCCGTAATAATGTAGGTTCATACTGCACATACCTGATGAATTGAAGAGATCACTGCAGTTTCCAGATCTGCGTCGGAAACATGATTTCGACGTCTAAGGTCGTTTTCCAAGCAGAATCTCCTCACCGATATTTCTGAGCAACCATTCGCTCCGTGGCAATATAAAGCATCACTGATCTCTGCATGTGTTGCCCCATTTTTAAAAAGTCTCCTAATTAAATGTGTATAAGGCTGGAGGGAAGCCATCAAAATCTCCTAAAACTTGCTGAACGGCGGCTCTGATCTGAGGTCTCTTCTCTCTTCCGGTGTCGCAAATAATAATAAAACGAAATAATAGTAATGCCATAATTCTTTTGAGAATTTAAACAACTAGAGCCAAAACAAACACATTGATATTGAAGCATAAAGGATTTGATTTTCCAATTTGATTTAGAAAAGGAAAATACCAATAAACGAATGGAAAATTTGTTTTTCTGATTTTGTTTTTAAACGGAATAACTAATGATCGAAGGGTACACGGATTCTGTATGATACCAGTCCCTTTCTTGTCGAGTTAAACTGCCGCATAATTCATTGTACTGACGTAGGCTGATGACATATCCTGTGGCTAACTCGACAGCTGTTAGCTTACAACTTAGTTAGATTTGTTTATTATTTCCATGATCAACCCGACAGACCATTTGTAATTTATTAGCTACTGTGAGACGCACATGCACAGGTTTGCCTCACATCATAAACAGCGGAGACATTGTATCTCGACAAGGCAGTGAGTGTTTGTTTGCTTGCGTGTAATAACCAGTTACAACAGCACCATCTACTGGTATAGTGCTAGAACAACAACATTACGCTTGCGAATCTCGAGAGACACTGACGGCAGGAGTGTGTCAAAAGTTTGGTGTGTAAAACAAGAGCCTGTGCGTAGCACTTAGGCTTTTTTCGGTTATTCTCTTCATTCAACGTGGTTATTTACATAGTGATTGTTCTGTTACAGATACAAATGTCGGTAACACTTTATATTAATGGTACATGAGTTCATGCATGATTCTCATGAACTAATGTATGAATTAATGCATTAGTTCATGATACATTCATGCATTACTAGATCATGAATTCTCATGAACTACCATGATTACATGTTGGTTCATGGATGACTTCATCCTTGAATTATAAATGGTTGAACTACTGTAATGAATTTACATGAAAATCTTAAATAATCATCATGATCATGTACAGCACACGTACAGCATAATGATTAATACATCATGATTTCATTATATTTGCTAATGCTTAATACATCATGAATCAGATAAGCACTTGGCTGATGAACTGAATAAATTTTATTCTCGATTCAACAGCTCTGACTTTGAAGAGAAACTATATGAAATGAAGGCTTGCACACAGGCACGTCCATTGGTGACAATTGAGAGCAGCACAGTAGCAAAGTTGTTAAATCGGACCAAATCAAAGAGCCCGGGTCCCGACAACATTAGTGGTCGAGTACTGAGCACATGTGCTGACCAATTGTCTGATGTATTTCAGTATAATTTTTACTTGTCACTGTTTCAAGGGACAAGTTAACACAGTTCTGCTTGTGTACAAGTCTCTCCATGGCCTCGCACCAAAATATATTAGTTATATGTTAGTCCCATATGTACCGGCCCGGACTCTAACAAGAGCCCCGTCCCTGTGCTCTTCAGTTCCCAGAGTCAGAACTAAACATGGGGAGGCTGCATTTCAGATTCATGCTGCTAAAATATGGAACAATCTTCCTGAAGATGTGAGACAGGCCTCCTCTCTGACAATGTTTAAAACAAGGTTGAAAACAGTTCTGTTTAGCTGTGCATACAACTGAGGGATTGTATATTTTATATTTGTATCTTTCTTTTTAATGTACTGTGATTATTTATGATTTTAATGCTATCTTGTTTTGTTCAGCACTTTGAATTGCCTTGTGTATGAATTGCGCACATTGCACATTTTGAAACACTCAACAATTGTACCTGTTCCCAAGACTAACACCCTAAAATCTTTGAACGAATTCCGGCCTGTTGCATTGACCTCGTTGGTCATGAAAAACTTTGAAAAAATTATTCAAGAGGCCATTCTTCTGCAAGTTGAGGATAAGTTGGATCCTCTGCAATTTGCATATACTGTAGGTCAGGGAGGGGTGTTGATGACGCCGTGATCACACTAATTTATTACTTGCCTTATTTGTGGATTTTACGTCTGATTTTATCACCATCCAGCCCATTTTACTTGCACAGTGACTGATTTCAGATTTTAATCTTGATCTTAATTTGGTTGGATGGTTGTTGGACTTCCTAACACCTCTATCACAGTGTGTTAGGGTTAACAGCACCATGTCAGAGGTTGGCTTTACAACTATTGGTTCTCCTCAGGGTTGCTGCCCGTCTCCACTCCTGTACATTTTGTACACAGATCAGTGTTGAACTATGCACCAGGACAGACACATCTTGAAGTTTGCAGACGATTCAGTCATTGTCAGCTTGCTCTCTGGGAAGGAGCAGGACCATGGACCTGTCCTTAATGACTTTGTGGAGTGGTGCGATGCCTCATTCCTGCACTTGAATATCTCAAAAACTAAGGATAGGATATTGGACTTCCGTAGGGCACTTCCAGCACCCACGACCACTGTTATTAAGGGCATGGATGTTGAGCTTGTGGAGCAATACAGATATCTGGGGGTTATTGTGGACCACAGGCTGGGCTTTGAACCCTTGGTTGATGCAGTCTGTAAAAAAGTGCAGCAGAGAATGTACTTTCTTAGGCGCATGAACACTTTTAAGGTGTCGTCAGAAATGATGACCTTGTTTTATTGTTATTTTATTGAATCTGTCTTTATATCACAGCATGGTTTGGTAACCTATCCCTAGCAAACAAAAACAGACTTGGCAGTGTGCTTAAAGTGGCCAGTAAGGTGTCAGGGAAAACACAGGCTCAGCCCAGAGACCTGTACAGTAAGCAGGTGATGAGGAAGGCCAATTCTATAATTGGTTCTTTGGACCACCCCCTGAGGGAGCAGTTTGATCTTTTACCCTCAGGACAACGCTGTAGGGCTCTTGGGTGTAGAACAAAACGGTTAGGAACAACATTTATTCCAACAGCTGTGAAGCACCTTAACAGCACATAGTACTTGTACAAACCTTTGCACTTTACAGCATATTTGCATAGAAAAATAGCTTTGTGATAATCTGTCTTGTTCTTGTTTTCTTCAATGTTTGTGATCTTACTGTATATGCCTGTTTTTAGATGATTGTTGCTGCAAAACCAATTTCCCCCAGTGGAACAATAAAGACAACTTGAACTTGATGATTTCATTATGATTGTGTCCCCTCAACTAAAGTGAAGCAATGATTTATGGGTTGTTCCTTCAATATATTTTACAAACTATCACACTTCAGGTGCAGCACTGGAGGTCTTATTTGGTGATGCTGTACGTGTAAATTTGTAAAATAAATAGTTTTTCCATACAAAAATTCCAACAATCCATAAATCATATGGATATGAAAGTCTGCTATACTCACATTCTGTTCACTGTTCTCCTTGGCTCTACATCCACAGTGCGCTCCTCCTACAAAGATGAAAGCATGGATAGGAGGAATGTACACACACACACTGACAAATAAAGAAGAAAGAAGAACAAGAGAAACTTGGGCAGGGTGTGTGCGTTGTGTTGCAATTCTCACCCCATCCAGGACTTCTATAGGGATGCAGGATCGCACAGTGGAATTGCCAGGCCCATAACTTTCAGGGTTGGTGGGGACAGCGAACAGAGAGCTCAGGTAGGAGTGAACTTCTTTGTCTTCAGCTGAAAGGAAAAGACAATTAGGGTCATACGCAGTATTTATGAATTAATTTCTAGCCTCATCGGACAAACATTTTGCTCAAAAAGCTCATTCAAAGAATTTGAGGTGCCCCCAGTGGTCAGTTGTGGGACTTACAACTTTTGAATAATGTAATGTTTTGCTTGTCTAATTTAAATTTAAATTTATTCCTTAGAAGTGTTTTTTATTCTATATTTTTATTTTCTCTTTCTGACTGTTGCACTGAGCCAAAGCAATTTCCAAGTCTGTGACTTCCTGTTACTTACGTGACAATAAAAATGATTCTGATTCTGATTGTCTCGGTTCAGAGCTTATATTCAAAGATTTTTGGGCCGATCGGAGTGCTAGTGTCCTATCACTTTGCAGGTGGCGCTCTCAGCTCTGTAGGTCTGAGCCTATGGCCCCGAGGGGTCAGTGAAAACACCCAAAACAAAGGCGTTATTCGCCACGGCTTGGGACGAAAACAGTGGATAATTTCTAACTTTGTATTGACGAATATATAACTTAAATCCGTCCAGATTGAGAAATGACAAGGTAGAAGTCTGTTTGATAAAAATCCAAGGACACGTACGAATCAAAAAATTAAAAGTTAAATTAGGCCACTTCATGGCCGAATTCCTGTTGGTCACTTTCTATTGGCCTGGGCTAATACAAAATTATTTTATCTCTGTGTCCCAAGTCTGTTCTGCCCTTTAGGTTGTAACAAGTCCCCTTTCAGGAACCTCTTGGCACTAAATCACCACAGCAGTCGTGTCTGAGGATTTCACAAAATTGAAAGTCAGACAACAGATCAGAGAATTTAACCGTTTGAACCAGGGAGAAGAGATTCACCGGTTTGCATAGGTGATTCGAGTCAAGCACGTGCGATGCAACTGCACCGGCACATTACAGCATGCATCAATACCAGTGGGGGAGGGTCCCAGCTCAAAAGTGGCCAAAATGACATGCGCTGACGTGCTTGCAATACCACCCCGGGCCGATGGGGGTGGAACCAGAAGTAGAATTAGCCAATGCTAACATATAGCATTGGCAGACCTCTCAAAAATGTCTTTACAGGATGGACCAAAAGTTGGCTCTTAGCCCAAAGCTCCGTTCCACATGTGTGTCAATGCTGAGGGGGGTGAATTTTTTTGGTCCACTCTAGTTTACTTGCTGTGAATTTTTTAAGTCTCTTGTTCAAATGAATGCAGTTACGCCAGCTGACGCAGATGCGTTTTTTCACAATTTTCTAGTGGGCGGGACCACTCGCGGCCATTTTCGATTGCTCCAGTAGAGCACATTTTTAGGCCCATTAGTTTGAACGGCGGAGATAGGCGTGACTCTGTCCATTAATATATACAGTCTATGATCAATACACAAAAGGGGCAGATTCGGGATGCATCGGCTCTTGTCACTCTGTATTGGCTAGATTCTTGCATTGGATTAGCCTGGTCGTACCACACCATAGTACAAATTACATTTCGTACTAAGGTCTAGAGGTGCTCCATTGAGCTCCGTTTACAGGTGGGAGGGGTTACCTCCTTTTGCAGATTGAAACTATTGGATCTGAGTTTACTGTGCCGTATGTAATGCGCTCGAGTGAGTCATTAGCATTTAGCATGTAGCCTAGTCATCTCCTTTGCCGCTAACGGAGCCCGTGGGGAGTAGCGCCCAATTTATTCTAGCGATTACATTTGCTAAACATTCCTATTGCTCCGGCTTCAATTTCTTGATAGAACCACACCGGATTACTTTACCATCGCATTTTTCGCCATTGCCAAACTACACCCTTACCGTTCGACGCAAACTCTTGACGTCACCCACAACTAACTACAACACCTGCCTTCCGCGCTCGCTGGTAGGTCGATCAAAATTCCACCATTGTAATCGCTAACCCAGGGACTAGACCCAGACGTTACATGCCGTGAAATGATGATTGAGCGGAGTGTACGGATGGCTAAGGCCAGGCTAGCATTGGATCGGTCTTTGATCACTTATATGCACTTGCTCAGCCCAGCGTTTTTCACTGAGCGTCTGTGGTGAGATCTGATTGACACTGGCTCTGTCGAGTTCTCGGGGCGAGCAGAGAATTAAACTTTCTCTCACTGGCAGTAGTGGCAGCATAGACTACCGGGGGTCCACAGCCCTCAACCATAGGTGCACGGTTCCGCAAGGACCAGAAGCCCGCGAAGCATGATCTATAAATAGTATTGGAGAATGGACCCAGTCTTTTATCTCCACCCCTCTGCTAAGCATTTGGCGTTTGCGAAACAGCAGAGACGTGCGATCTTTGCAAAAGATGAGAATACATGCTTTGTTTTGATCTTCAAAGCGTCCAAAAAGAATCGGTATTCAGAGAGATATGAGCCGCTATGGAGTCCTGTTTGTGAGAGAGGCGGACGCTTGTCAACAGGCGGAAAATACGTGCGCGATGAGCCGCGATACGTTTCAATCATCATCTCATTTCATCTCACTGTCAGTGATACGATTGGATTCACCCCTGTCAGCATTACAATGCGATTCACTCCTATTCTCTGTACGATGCAATTTAAAACAATTTTATAACAATAAAATATAGGCCTTACAAATGGGTTTGGTTTGATAAGTTTTGATTAGTATTACAATTCATGTCACTATAGTTCCATCCTCTAAAACAGTGTAGTTCTGTCAATTTCCATATGTGCAGTATTTTTTGCGCGCATGTGTTACCCACTGAGCTGCTGCACTTACACATATTGCTCTGATGCAGACAACAAGATCAATGCTTGAGCTGTTCAATTCGCACAGAGCAGAATATAAACAGGAAGAGAAACGGAAACTTAACTCTTGACAACAAGGTAGTCGCTGAAGTTAGTATTAGTGCCACCAGCTGGAATGACCGTTGTACCACAGCACAGTTGCGTGACCTTGGGACCGCGGGCCGTTTTCACACCCCTGTGGCGACAATCCGGGCCACTTGGCCTCGTTCGTTTGTAAAAACCTATGTGACCCTGCCCTTACAAGAATAAGACTATGAAAAGAAATTCCGTCTTGAAATGAAGTTACTCAAACATGCATGAATCGCTCCAAAATATTTTTATATATAAATATACTGAAGAGAAGAAAACATGTATAACATTGGCAAAAGCTCTCGAAAGCAAACTTTGCAAAATACAATATACCATTTGCCTATATTGAAATATTGAATAATTTTTCGGAAGAACTACATAATAAGACAAAAAAATCCCCAGCATTGTAAAGCAGAAGACCTGATCAGAACCTGTGCTCTGGATGGTGCCCTGTCTCCTCTCTCATCACTGTTGTCACTCCACATTACCTGAGTGCCAGCAAGCCCCTCTGGCTGTCTCCTGCAAACAGCCCTTCTATCACATCTCCACAGGAGTCTGACAGCTCCGAAAAATGAGAATTTAAAACAAGGGAGAGTGCGCCACATGGAGCCACCAAACAGTCTTTATTATTCATGGACATGGGGATATTCAAAGGCACCAGAAGAGAAGAAACTTTGCAACCTGTTGGAAGTGCAGCTGGTGGAAGCCTGGAGCGGGATGGAAGGCACAATTTATTAGATGCTTATAGTTTCTGCAGGTCATTTCCACAAAACTGTCTCCATGACAACAGATATACAACAAAAAACGTACAAGAAATACTACTTGGATAAGTGCAGCAATATTTGTGGCAAAAATCAGAATCAGAATCATTTTTATTGCCACGTAAGTAACAGGAGGTCACAGACTTGGAAATTGCTTTGGCTCGGTGCAACAATCAGAAAGAAACGGCATAATAGAAAATAAATTTTAAAATAGAGTTACGATTACTATATACAATATACAGTGCACATGGTGCAGTAAAGTGACTTTGTAAAGAGCATTAGGGGACTTCTAGAGGGCGGGGAGGTTAAGAAGTGTTCAAGTGTTCAAGAGTCCAACAGCAGAGGGGAAGAAACTGTTCTTGTGGCGGGAGGTTCTAGTCCTGATGGACCGCAGCCTCCTGCCTGAGGGGAGTGGTTGGAATAGTCCATGTGAGGGGTGAGTGGGGTCGGCTGTGATACGACCAGCCCGGCCTCGAGCTCGGGCGACATACAGGTCCTGCAGCAATGGAAGGCTGCGGCCAATCAGCTTCTCTGCAGAGCGCACAATGCGCTGTAGTCTCTGCTTGTCCCTGAGCATTACAAGCCCTACAAGCACCCTTGTAGCATACTACAAGGGTGTTTTGATGCCACGGACTGGTCTGTGTTTCAGTCAGAGGACGTTAATGAATTCTATGACGCTGTGTCGGGATACATACGCTTCTGTATTGACTGCTGTGTCCCACAGAAGGTCCTTAAAGAACATTTTAGTCAAAACCCTTGGATGAATGCGGAAGTGAAGCTGAAACTTAATGAGCGGGCTTTGGCGTTTCAATCAAATGATACAGTTGCTTATAAGTTATCCTGTTACTCGTTGAAACGCTCTATTAAATCTGCAAAGCGCAGTTAAGGTGACAGGTTAAAGGTTTATTTTGAGGAAGATGACCCTCGGCGCATGTGGAGCGGTATTAAAGCCATCACATCGTGGAAACCTAGTGCTGGGAAAATTGCATCTGTCAGCCAAGCTCTGCCAAATGAGCTTAATACGTTCTACTGTCGCTTTGAATCTGCTGATGCCTGTCCTATTGTACTTCCTGATTGTCTCAATCAAGGTGCCTTCACCGTGACTCAGGAGGATGTCAGGCGTGTCTTGTCCAGGACCACAGTCCGGAAAGCCCCAGGCCCGGACGGCATCCCTGCTCGTGTCCTGAAACTGTGCTCCGAGCAACTTGCCCCTGTGCTAACAGACATTTTTAACCTGTCGCTAAGGAACTGTAGGTAGCCGAGCTACCTGGAGGGGGGTGGCGAGCTACCGGTGGCTCCCGAGCTACAGGTTAGAGACCCCAGACGTACTGTATATCTGCCCACACAAAAATTCTTGTTTAAATATTGATATTTCAGAACTGATATAACCTTAGCCCTATTCGCACGAAATTAGTCTTACCTGTGGACCTCTGGTAATTTGCGATAATCCCAGAGGACATCTGAGATCCAACAGCGCATTTGTCACAGGTCAAATAGTCTGTTGAGGGGGTGTGATCAATAAAATGGCAAAGGGATAAAAAGGGGATAAACATTTAATAAAATATATAAAAAAATATCCGTTAAAAAGAGATAAAAACCCATAGTCCGCTGGTCCCCGTGTCCTCCTCCAAGCCCTTCTGTCCCAGGACCGGGCCGCAGTCTCGTCAGCCACTTGCCAACCACGGGTCACCACCGGGGGAGAGCGGGCACATCCCAGCCATGATGTGGGCCTAGCCCGGCGTGCACGTGCCTCTCTGCGCTTTCAATGCGCGCCCATCACCGGTGCCGTTCTCCCCGCTCCTCTCGTGCTGTATCTCCGCTTCTCTCTCTGACTTTACCCCCGTTCCACCTTATAGTCTTCTTGATCAAAAGCAGGTGTGGGTAATTAGGGAAGTGTCCAAGGAATGGTGAGATAAAATGCATGCATTAAAAACATAAAAACACACCAAAACACACCACAAAAATAAAAGCATCCTTGTAAAATCCACTTTCTCACACATTCACACGGGATAAGCAAAGTTTGTAAATGACTCCTGAAGAGAGGCGCTCGTCACACGGCTAAAAAGTTTCAAAACTGCGAATCAACATTTCCACCACAGCCTCCATGGTTCGAGTCGGGAAGAAATATGAAAAGGCGCAAAAAAATAATGCAGAAAGTAGAGAATTATTACTTTACAAATTACAGACATGGCGCATTCGCACAGGACTAAGATCTCAGATGTCCTACCATGGGAGGTTATCACAAATTTCCAGAGGTTGTATTTAAAGTGTGATTGTATTTATTTATTTAAAAAGGGACAGTGTACAATTAGAACATAAATGCCTCCATTTGATGCATTGTACCGGAGTTAGCCTTAGGCTAATTTGCATCCGTAGTCCCCCGGCAGGGAAGAACACTCCACATACAGGTGGGTATAAAATAACACAAGCACATACCATAAAATACACATTTGTATACAGTCAGCAGATACACACAGAGCAGACGCACAAACGCACAATCACAGACGTATTCCCACACACAAGCGCACAATCACACACAGTTACACACGCACACAAACACACAAACTCAGGTGGTCAGTACCTTTGGACCTATGGATAATGATCACATCTTTGCTCACTCTTTAAGTGTCTTTTCAATTCCATCTTAAAGCCTTCCAGTGTAGCACATGACTTAAATAGAGTTAGGAAGAGCATTCCACTGCGTAGAGGCCTTCATAGAGAAGGCGGAGAGACCAAACGCAGAGCGACGGAAGGGGATCATACAATCGCGCACCGAGGCTATTCTCGTGGATCTAATTGAGTGTATTGCCCTATAGTTCACAAATGATTTTAAACAGTCGGGAGCCAGGCCATTTAGAACTTTGAAAACGAGACACAGGTTAGAAAAGCGTCTGAAGTTTTCCAAACTCAAAAAATTATATTTTACTAAGATATTACAGTGATGGTGCCTCAGAGGCTTTTTATCTAAGATTTTTAGTGCCTGTTTATACACTGACTCAAGAGGTCTCACTACTGATTCACCAGCCTGCCCCCAACATGTGATACAGTACGATAAATGCGAGAAAATAAGCGCATGCATAAATGTTCTAGCTGCCTCAAGGGAGAGGGTCTAATATGTCTGAAATTGGCAAGGTTGAATTTGAGAGTTCTTGTCATGTTTTTAACGTGTTTTTTGAAATACAAGTTAGCGTCTAGAGTAACCCCAAGATATCTGTATTCAGCAACATTTTCAATCTTCTGGTTCCTAATGTAAATGTCAGAGTTTGTATTTTGTGCTTTGGTTTTTCGAAAAAACATGGCCCTTGTTTTACTAATGTTAAGGCAAAGACAGGATTGATCGAGCCATTGAGCCACAGGCTCAAGGGCTCTGGAGAGTTTTTCGGCCGCTAGGTGACTGGTGCTGGCATAGGTATATATTACGGTATCATCTGCGTATAGTTGAATTTGTAGACCCAGGCAGTGATGTGGCAGGTCATTTATATAAAGGCTGAAAAGTAAGGGGCCAAGTACAGACCCTTGGGGTACTTCCATGGTAGATTTCAGGTAACCTGAGCAGCCATCCTTTACCCTAACACACTGTGTCCTATCTGATAGGTATGACCGCATCCATTTTAGAGTTTTGCCAGAGAAACCAAAAACTGACAATTTAGATAGGAGTATGTTATGATTAACTAAATCAAAAGCCTTGCGTAAGTCTAAAAAGACTGCTCCAACAACTCCACCTTTGTCGAGACTTGATCTTATTTGTTCAGTCAGGTGGAGTGTGGCGGTCTCAGTAGAGAAGTTCCTACGAAACCCAAACTGAAGTGGGTGAAGAATCAGAATCAGAATTATTTTTATTGCCACAGGAGGTCACAGACCATCACTTATTGAATTCAGATGTGTAGTCATTTGTTCATATATAACTTTTTCAGCAATTTTAGATATTACTGGCAGAATACTTATAGGTCTATAGTTATTTGTGTCAAGGTGGTCTCCAGTTTTATGAATTGGAGTAATGACAGCCATTTTCCAGCTTGCCGGCACAGTACCGCATGTAATAGAAAGATTGATCAAATGAGTAATGGGAGCTATCAATGTATCAGTGTGTTTTTTTACTAAGGAGTTGTCTAGTGTTGTATTAAATATAAGACTAAAAAGCAGAT